TAGGGCGAGGTTGGGCGTCCCACAGACCTCAGGAGACAATCAATACCTGCCAGCAGGTGTAGGTGATTGGAGCTCAAATGGGGTGGGAAACTCAACCCCTCTTTATACCCCTTGGGTCACATGGGCTTCTTCCTGGTCTCAAGTGGCCAATTAGGAAAAATGGCTTTGAACGCCAAGTTTCCCACGAAGGGTGCAAAGCATAATTCACACCTGGGAAGATGCAGACAATGGGCACCTCTGGTATGTGATGGGCGAAGATTCCTCTCCTGAGACAGTGCAGGCGTGTCAATTACTGACACTAGCCATCACGGCGACGGGTGGCCTCCCAGTCATCAGCTAGCCCATTTACTGTCTGGTTTCTGTTTATGGTAGAGTCAGGGACAGGCACCACACCTGCGTTCCCAGGGCATCAAAGGCTGACTGCCTTTCTCTTGCTCTCTGGGGGGGGGGGAGGGAAACAAGATGGGGTTTGTGTCTGGCTACAGGTACGGAGAAAGTTTGGGTAAATGAATGGAACCTTTTCAATGTTGGACTAGTAAGCCTGAGGGGCAAAGGACATTGCTCAATCCATTTGAGCTGGGATGGTTACTCGTGGGGGGTTAGGAACTAAGTTTGTGGTATTTTCCCAAGCTAATGCCATGTAACTTCTCTCCCTCTTTCATTAAAATTTATTTTCTACACTCAGATTTTGAGCTTGTGAGTGGGGAAGCATTGCTTTTCAGAGGCTCCCAAGGGTGTGTGAATTTCCCAGGCTACTGGGTAGGGGCTCAAGCCAGTTCTGTGTGAGATGGATGAAAAGGGACTCCTAGATATTGAATCCAGCCCTGGCTGCTGTTGTCACTACGTGGCAGAAGGGTTACATTTCCTTCTCATAACACAAGACTGAGGGGTCCCCAAATGAAATTAATAGGTAGCAGGTTGAAATAGCACACAACACAGTCAATTTATTGGAGCTACTTGAATGAGGATGTTGTGAAGGCCAAGAGTATTACAGGGTTCAAAAAAGAACTAGATGAGATCATGGAGGATAGGTTAATCAATGACTATTAGTCTGGATGGGCAAGGATAGTGACCCTATCCATTGTCTGCCAGAATCTGGGAATGGGTAACAGGGGTAACAGGGGATGGAGACAGGATACTAGGCTAGATAGACCTTTGCCTGACCCAGTATGGACATTCGCCTTGATGACTTGTGATGGGGGGGAGGCAGGCACAGCATCACCCCAGAAAAAATGCTACTAGAATTATCAGCATGAATTGTTCTTACTTTGCCAGATTTGAATGTCAGAATATTTGAATGAGCATCTGCAAAAATTCTTTGAGATGTAAAGGGCCTAGAAGTTTTATTTGTGGGTAAGGGAACATACAAGAATATAATAAACACACCAGTTTTCTGCAACTGCCGCAAGAAACAGAAAAATGTCTGTCAATCACCATTATTTGCCTTGTTTCCTTGATATTATTGAAAATAGTTCAAAAGAAACTTTTCATGCTGTTAGTGTGTGAAAGAAAATCATCTCCATGCTCTGGTGTGGCATGGGAGAATATGAGGCTCTGTTACAAACAACTGTTAAATCAGCTAGTTCAATTCTTCAGCTCTGTTTATTAACACAGCAAACTTACCACAAAATTTGGATTTCATAATACTTCTAGCAAATAAAATAAAGCTTTAAATATCCTTTCCAAGACTTGATGACAGCCTGAAAGTGACTTGAATTCTCAATATACCAATAACATCTCTGAAGTTCCAGGAAAACATCACTACTATATTAACTCTTTTAGGCTGTGTCTACATTGGCACCCCTTTCCGGAAAAGGGATGCTAATGAGACCAGTCGGAATTGCAAATTCCGCAGGGGATTTAACTATCCCCCGCGGCATTTGCATTTACATGGCTGCCGCTTTTTTCCGGCTCGGGGTTTTGCCGGAGAAAAGCGCCAGTCTAGACGCGATTTTCCAGAAAATAAGCCCTTTTCCAGAAGATCCCTTATTCCTACTTGAAAGTAAGAATACGGGATCTTCCGGAAAAGGGCTTATTTTCCAGAAAATCGCGTCTAGACTGGCGCTTTTCTCCGGCAAAACCCCGAGCCGGAAAAAAGCGGCAGCCATGTAAATGCAAATGCCGCGGGGGATAGTTAAATCCCCTGCGGAATTTGCAATTCCGACTGGTCTCATTAGCATCCCTTTTCCGGAAAGGGGTGCCAATGTAGACGGGAAATACATACAGAATGTCCAGATCTCTCACACTTAAGTTCTGCCACCAGTGTCTCTCCATGGACAATATGTTTTAGACTCTTTCATGTTCAAAATTTCTTTTAAAACAATAAAAGTCTCTCTTTACAAAAAGAATATTCCAGGAAGTGTTAAATGAAAAAAAGGGAAAAAAAGAAAGAAAATCTGCCTCAGTTTAGTCAATTGAGGAAGCCTGACAAGTCATTAATGAATAATGAATATACATCTTAGCACTTCTTGACGTCCTCTCAAAAATTTTCTCATCCTGGTTACTCGAAGAGACAATTCAACTAAATTAAAATGACATCACATGAGGTAGGAATATCAGATATTCAACACTAAGATACTGTTCAATCAATCATTACTCTAGAGCCAGCAGCAGCAACATTAGTAAGAGTGGAATAGCATGTTGGAACCTCTGTAGAGGGATTGTCAGCTTCAAGAACTGGAACAAGACTATGATTAATCTAACAAAGTTACCTTCATGCAATGCCAACTTCCATTTGTAGGTAAATACAATGGGCCAGATCATCCAGGGGACATAAGCACTATAGAAATCATGTTATATATAACATCAACCTTTGCAGTTGATAGGA